TGGATGGATGGATGGATGGATGGATGGATGGATGGATGGATGGATGGATGGATGGGTGGATATAAAGCCTCTAAAGTTGTACATTTTATTACAAACACAAACTTTCTGCATATTATTGGGGTTTTCGGTGATGGAACAACACAAAGTAATGCTCTATCCTACAGTATAAGGATCCCAATATCATTATTCAGATAAACATTTTAACACTTTGGCAGATCGTTTTCTTGTCTTCAGCCTCCCTCAAACAGTTTACAGCACCTAGAGCTGTTAGTCACTTTTGGTATTTCTCTCACAGCTCTTCACAACAGGAAACGAAAATTCTTTCCAGTATTTCGACCTCTGTCTAATGGAGAGCTCCTGTAAACATTGCTTTACAAATCTTGAAAACCTAACAGATTCATGCATAGATTTTGAAAGAGCCGTTTAACTCGTACATTTTTTTTTCAGGCTTGGGCTCTATGTTTAGGATTGTTGTCCTTCCTGACAGTAAACCTTCACCTCAGTATCAAGTCATTTGTGGCCTTTAGCAGATTTTCTTCCAAGCTTGCCTTGGTTTTACCTTATTCCATCTTACCATTGGTTTTGATCAGCCTATATTCCCCTAATGAACAAAAGCATTCCCACAGCATGATGCTGCCATCCCTATTTTGGATTGTGTGTTCAGGATAATGTGTGTTTTAAGTTTTTCTTCAAGCAGAAGTTGGAAATGAATTTAAATGTTTAACACTGGTCTTGACCATGCTGTCTTCATCCATTCATCTCGTCCTAGAGAGAAACTTTAAATCAGACTTCTCCAGTCTTTCTTTTTACTAGTGGCAAGAGGACTTCCCTCTTGCCACTCTTCAATAAAGAGTTTACGCGACTCTTCTATCTAAACACTCCAAGAAACTTGACTTCTTTAAATGCATCCATGTATGCATCCAACAGTTCAACAAAAAATCATATCCGGTAGGTTATCAGTTCTGCCTCCATCATTTTTAGATAACGGAGGGTAAACTTTATGGATTTTTAGTATATATTTTTTATTTTTTAATAATTAATCACATTTTAAACTTCTCCACAACCTATTCCTAAATTATCACTTGTGGTCCGAGGTTTATATTGTGTTATCCTTAATAGCACAGCTGTATTTATTGTGAAATTAAATCAGAAACAGGTACATTCTCTTTATCAGCAAAGTAAGTTGTAGTGGATTTAATTTATGGGGGTCAGATTCAAACTAGGCTGAACATAAATGCCAGACCTCTCAGACTTTCATTTTCATTAAAACTTTCTCTGTCATTCACTACAGTGCGACAGACTATGAAATACTTCAAAAACTGTTTAAACTAAAATGTTTATTGAAAAATCTTCCAATATTATTTTACATGTGTTTACAGGTATCCATAAAACTGTGCCATCACTAAGCTCTAGTATACACACATCTTCCCTCCCGGACTTAATCTGTATGCAACTGCAAATGCAAGCTGGATAAAAATAAATCTTTCAGCTCACTAATTAATTGGTTAAGTTCCCGCTCATGTTCTTGACAGCACTATTTATCAACCTTTAGTGGAGATGTTCACCTCAGCTACTGCAAAATACACAGTCCCATGTTTTTATGTCCAAATGTGGCCAAGAATTTCAAGGAGATAGAGCAATACTTTGCTTTTTTACTAGCAGTTTTGTGCTATTAGTAGAAGACTTCTGGGTTTAAATACTTGAGAACTGCTGAACTGCAATGATGAAAGAATCAAATCACACATTAGGAGTATAAAATAAAACCAGACTCAGAAAAGAAGGTGGACAAATGGAGGTATGTACAGGATAGACATGTTCAATACCAGGCAGGGAGGGAGGAGAAGGAACAGAGAGGAAGAGTCTAAATTTATTTGATATTTATGAAGATATAAGGCCATTACTAATTAATATTATGTATATAAATCAGTGCACTTTTAGCTTTAAAACAAATGTTCACATTTTGTTAATGCACTTGTATTTCTCCGCTTTACCTCTTTGTCGATCTTGAGAAGCTTCTTCACGGCCACCTCTTTGTCTTGGGATATCCAGAGGGCCCTGTAGACGCTCCCAAAGCTACCTCCTCCACAGTTTTCATAGAAAAGCAAATCCTCATGCTTTATCTGCACAAACGACGAGCCAGGGGACGACATGGCATACTGACATACAGACACTAAAACACACTCATGTACATACACACCACCAGGGGAATAAAAAAAAAGAAAAGTAAAAAATCCTTAAGTCCAACCTCTGTCTATAATTGTAGACTAGTCAGAGATGAAAACAAAAAGAGATGAAGTGAAGCAGAAAAGGTTCCTTGTTAGGTTTGGAATAGGATGTTGTCAGTCAGCTCTACAGAGTGTCAAGAAGAGTAAACTAGAAAGTGCTGGAAAGAGTGGGAGAAGTTTGCCCTCCGTGAGTCAGAGCAGGTTGGCTGTCATGGCCAGACGAGGAGTTACATTGCCTGATAGTGGAGATTCAGTAGAACTACAGCATTGAGTGTGTGGATGTGTGTACACACACAAGCTCAGAGTGGAACTTGAAGAGCAGAACGGTTAGTCGTGTGTGCAGTGTGTCTGGAGCTGAGGCTGTTCAAATATGGTCACTGGCATCCAGGGCATTCCTTCTTCCTGGATAACTCTGGCTATATAAAGCTCTTCGTATACTCCAAACAGATATAGAGCCCTAACCTGTAGAGCGCTTGACGTGCTAAACTACACTGACTGCCACAGATACTTCAGTCTAACTCTTATAGCTCAACTGTGTGGCTAAAAACACACTAAAAGCAAAGAGTCCAGGCTGAGACAGGGTGTTACTCATCCAGACAGGAAGGACCCAGTGACACCATCAGTGGGGAAGTCATGCTGACATCACTGTTTAGGGGCAGCTGGGATCAGCTATGGGAAGTTAAAACATCTCTCTGATAGTTTTTGATTGTAATTAAATCGGTTCCGGCTCTTAGCAGTAAAAAAATAAAACCAAAGGTCTGCTGTCAACTCAGAAATGCGAGACAAGCTCTTGTGCTAAGTATGAATGAACCCTTGGACATTTTTACATCTAAAGAGTAATTGTTAATATACCTATTAAATAGCCTTAAAGGCTTATGTCAAACAAAAATATTTAAATCATAAGTTTCAAAGCATTTAGTTATCCTCAATTAATAGTGATGCGTTGCAACTATTCAAAACTACTGTATTGGCGTTTTGAGACTCTATTTATGTAAAATGTTCATAATAAGTTGGTGGTGGTAAATCTTAATACTTAAGACATCCATCCTGCCTGAAGGTGAAACACCATAAATACACCAAATCAGTGCTGACCTGATGTGTCTTTAAACAAATTCAGGCTTGAGAAGAAAGCTGCATATCTGTGAGAATACAACTGATGTCATGATTGCCTGATACTAAAAACAGATCAGAACCAGATGCAACTTTGGCTTTTTGTCCCAAGCTTATGCCAAAGTGAACGTACATAATCTTAGAGAGTGCATTTGGATAACCTGATGCTCTGCGAACATCTTTTACTATTCCCTTTCTTTCTCACTGTTTTTATTAAAATACGGTTGAATTATAACATTCCTAAGTACACATAAGAAGTGATATTTGTAGAATTCGAGACAAACAGGTGTGATCGGTTTTATAGATCTGCCAATCTGGACTTATTGGTTGTGTGTAAGTTTTAATTTTGGGTTCTCAGTTATGCTTTATTTTATGTTATTCTATATTTTCAAGATGTATATTATTTTTGAATTCTTAGTGTTACTCTTCTATGTTATCTCTTTTCAGCATTTTGAGTACTATTTATTCCTTGATCTAGTTTTAGTTAGTTTATTCTTTCTCATATCCTTAGGTTATGTTTTCCATGGCTTCAGTTATCTCCAGTCCCTTCTCTTATCCTCTAGTTTTCCCCTTGATTATTCCATATTTTGTAGTCATTAGTTTTATTCCCATTTAGCCTTATTTAAGTTATTTTCAAGTTACAGTTAAACCCTGTTTTCCCTGGTTACACTTTGTTTCCACATATTTCCCAATTATTTTCCTCTTTGCTCCTTTCTAGCTGCTTCTGTCCAAACCTGCTCCCAATTAACTGATTACTCCACTCTTGGTGCAGTCTCCTGTATATAATCCTCCTAATCAGTTCCTCAGTGCTGGATTCTCTTCATTTCCTTCTTGTATTTTTCTCCATGCAGTAGCTTCTCTGTGTTTTGGTTTCTGGGTTGCCAGCCTTTTATTTCTGTATTTATCTTTTTGTACTATCTACCTCACCATTGAAACTACCAGAAAAAATCGCTGCTTCATCTACTCGGCATTCGGGTCCACGACAACATCCACCTACCCTCACACCTAATCTGTGCAATTCTCATTGAAAACTACTACTGTTCCATTCTTAGTTAGTCCACAGATATATCCATCGTCATTTCTGCAATTTGGCTCAAGTTACAGCAGTAACATGTATAGTATTAGATGGTATCTCTCCATCACTGATGACAGACTGCATTTTCTACATTTATCTTTATTTGACCAGTGTCATGGAATTCGATTTGATTGATAGGTCACAAAGGTAAAACAGTAAAGATTTCATAAAAGGTAACATTTAAGAGTGCCAAGGCTTAAAGAGCTCAGAAACTCGATCAGAGTGGTTGGTAGGAATTGATTTTTTTTCTACTTCATTCAGAGATTAGCAAATGAGTTAAAACTATTTCTAAAATCCTCTTACTGGGTGTATCCCTATGGACAATCTTTCGTTAAGTAGTTTTCAACCAACTGATCCTGGTAAGCACCACAACTGAATGGCCAGTGCATCTGCACATGTCCTACGTGACCTCAGTGGATTCTAGATAAAGTTTGAATTAGTTTGTTAATGGTAATTTCATACTTGATTGACAGCTAAAGTTTAAGGGAAGAAAAAAAAATCGATCAAACTGATTTAATACTTTGTCACCCCTACAACAAAATGTCCTTACAAATTTTTACCAAAGGTTTTTTTGGTTGCAGTTTGTAGTATGTAGCTACCCCTCCTCCGAAATAGATTTTTAATTTATTTTAGTAAATACAAATAAAAGACATTAGTCAGCCATAACCAGAGGAGCCAATCAGACTTTTTTTGACACCCATTTTTGGATTTGTTTGAGGTCTGAACTATTGCTTCCATTTTTTTCCAATGTCAAATGTATGCAGAGAAGTTCGAAATACCAAGTGGTTTTTATTGTAACAGCAGTGTTTTTTTTTAATGTAAAATCTCCAGCCCTTTACTGCTGAACCGACATCAAAAAGAAAGCTATTGGTTGGTGAATATATAAAGCGCTGTAGTTCTTTTTATCCATTTAATTTAATTTTACTTGGGAATCAAAGGTACAATCTTGAACTGAATTGAAACAAGGGGGAAAAACTAACTTTTTCATATATAACCATCCAGTGATCAGTAAAGGGAAAACTGGCGAGTTACAGTGCACAAATGTTTACTAATGCCAGCTGATCGTCTCAGTTATTGGGCCTTTTGTGATGTCATATGCCTAAATACACATTAGAGCTGGGAGGCTTTTTATCTTGTGAAATCTAGTAGCTAGAATCCTTTCTTTGCTGCTCAGGTGTGTTTTTTTTAATGTATACTTGTCCAAAAAAAATATATAGCATAGAGGTCTTTCAAATAACCATGGTTTTTCAGACAAGATGGTTTTCCGTCAACAAACCAACCAGCTACAAAATTCTGATTTCAAATCTCTCAATAGAGAAAAAGACAGAAAATTACCACTTATAAATTTGTTTTTGTTTTTTTATTTACAAAGGTGGACTACACATAGAATACAGATTTGAGGCAGCTTTTTGAGAAAGCTACAACTTTTTCTTTTACACATCATCACAGCAAAAGATCCTGAGATCAAAGAAAGAATTTAACGACACACACTCCGAATGTTTACGTACGAAAAATATTCTAACAGCGACTGAACACGGCTGGTAGATAGAACATAGGTTCCCCTCAAAAGCTCAAATAAAAACGGATCAACTGCAGATTTATAGTAAATAGCTGTGGATCCGATCTTGTAACTGGATTATCCAGATAACTTATTTGTTGCCTCTTTGTCAGAAAAGGAAATAAATACGTTTTAATATGGTTAATTTCTAACAAACTCTTCCTTTTAAACACTTTGTAACACCATAAGGGCTTTGCTCAAACTAATACTCTTTCATTCTAATTATATTTATGAGAGTGATTTTACCACATCATATCCTATATTAAATAGGATGATTTAAATAATTTAGATTTTTAAGCAAAATTACATCCCATATTTCTTTACATAAAACAATACAAAAAAAGTCTAAAACACTAAAGTAGGGCAAGGTTTGTTCCACAAGCAGGTACTGTCTTCCCCTTTGAACTCAGCTCCCTCTGGGATAACACAACAGTACAGGACACTCTGATAGAAATCCACTGTATAGAACACAAGCCTATAAGGTTCAGCCATGCAGGATATTTGGTTCACGTTCTATACATTACAGTTCTATCTAACAGGTCCGCAGACAGTACTAACTGCTACAATTTAAACACTTAGTGAGACAGAGCAACAGGAGAGCAGCTGCAACAGTTTCCTGAAGTCCAACAGGAAGAGGCGTTTTACGTCACAGTATGTAAGTCCTTCATCCGCGGTAGTCCGTAATAGTTTGAAGAATCACAGCTGTGATTTGCTACTAGAAGTCCACTTGTTGAGTCGTTTCAAACAGGTGATGTGTTTGTGTGTGCAGCTTGTATTTTATTCTAATATCACAGAGAAGGCGATGGCGGTAGAAGGTTTTAAGCTCATGTTCGCCGGGGCTCCAGCCTGTAGGAGAGCTGCGTTAGAGCCCTCTGGTTGTCAATCACACAGAGTTTCCTGACGTAGCCTCGTACCTCCGCTTGATTCTTGTTTGGCTGGCAAATGTCAGGATCTAAGGGAGCACAGAGAATTATTTAGCACGAGAGCTTTGCAAAAGTGTGCATACGTTTTGCACTTTTTCACATTTTGTCACAGTGCAACCACAAATGTAAATACATTTTCTAGGGAATTGATGTGACAAGAACCACTGTGACTTTAATAATGTATGGTATGTGATTGCATCATATCCTATACTTTGATAGCTTGCAAGAGCATCCAGTGCAACCAATCACCTTCAGAAGTTAAGTGACAGAATTATATTTATGTTAATTAGGATGTGTGTTTGTCAAGCTGGTACATCACATGTATAACCTGCGCCCCATAGAATACCTTGAATTCTCTTGTTTTGTGACAAAATGTGACTTAAAAAAGAAAGAAAGAATGCTGTTAAATGATAAACAGACTCACTGAATGGTTGGCTTCGACAATGCCTCACTTGTCGAATTGTGTTTGCTATAATACGCTGATGGAGCAAAATACCACAGATTAGATCTTCCAAGCAAAAAGAACTGTACTACAACAAGAGAAAATATTTATTTGATCTCAAACATGACAAAGAGACTCACCATTTTCTCAAAATTAACCATATTGTCAATAAATGTCTTGTTGCCCTCGTGTGTAAATGTCATATCTGCAGAGAAACACAATCATCTATTAGTCACAGCGCAAATAATTGGTTCAAAGAACAATATGTTCAGTATTTTGGTCAGCAGATGGGAAAACTGCAGCAGCAGTTGAAGCAAAAAGTGGAATCTGGAATACTGAACTTTAAAAGTGGCATATGCAATTGGCATGCCAGTTAAAAGTGGCAAACAGTACGTTTAAAAAAAATGGCATATGCCACTTTTGAAACTGGCATGTCAGTTTGTAAAGTGTCACTTGAAGTGGCATATGCCACAGGCATTAGTGTTTAAAAGTGGCAGTCATTAATTTTACAGTAAGTAGCTGATGGCAGGTGATCGGCTAAGCATCGGCATAGCCACAGCGTCTAGTCTGACTTATTCCACTTATCGATCTTTAGCTGCAGACAACAGCTGCTTAGCGCCACCTATTGTATGAATGTTCTTTCTGTCTTTTTCCACAGTTTTACTGATATGTCATTTTTATCTGGTTATATTTTATCTTTGTATTTAAGGTAGTCCTATTGTTTTTGTTGTCTTAGCCTTTTTAAGATATTTCATGGTTGATTTTGCATTATCTAATAAAAAGCACATTACTTCTAAACTTCTAAAGGCGTGTTTTTTCATCTTAAAAAAAATTAAATCGATTGAAGCATATTTTTAATGCTGAGGCATGAAAGAAGAGAAAAAGTATGCTGTGACAACTTTAATTCAGAAAATATTAGTGTTTAGTGTAGCTTTTCGCTGCTGACTGTTGTACATTACCAGTTATAACCGAAATTTTTATTTTTTTTTTGTCTAAAATACATGAAAAAATATATATTGTTTTCATTTTAAAGCACAGGGGATGTTCGGCAAGCATGCCTAATGTGGACACGACAATCTGCAGTGGAGCAGCACTCACTTGAATTGATGTACTGTTGGTTTTGTTAACAACTTCCTGTTAGGCTACTAAGTTTTGGTTTATATTCTTCTCTATTCATTTGCTATGGTTTTCACAAACTGCTGGGCATTTAAAGCTCACAACCTCAATAAAGGTTCAAGTAGAAGGTCTTTATGATGGTAACAGGAAAGCATTTTTTCTTTCAAAAAATAAACATGGCTCTATTCTCATTTGTTTTGGGAAATATTTTTTTGATTTACATATCATATTTACAGGAAATACTTTTGATTTACAGTTCCCTGGCATTATGAAGCAATATGCTAGGGACCATTTCTACATGACTGTTTTTGGTAAAAACTCATTCCAAGTTGTTTATTTGTATTGTAATCTATTGATAAGTATCTTGTGTTTTATGTGAGAATATTCCAACTGGTAGCTAAAAGAAACAGATAAGTGAGTTAATTTTTAGAATGGCTAATGCCATAAAATCAATATAAAAAAAAATACACTGAATAGAAAGTAAAAATACTCTAAAAATAATGACATACCAGTGGAAAATGCTTCCAGAAAGAAGCACCATATGCTGCTTTTAGAAGTGATAGATAGATGTGACTTTTTATTGGCGCCTAACAGTCGAGCTCTTTAAAACGATCTCTTCTTGAAGTTTTTCTCATTCAGAATAATAGCTGGATCTGTGTTTGGGTGCCTTTATACTTATATCAAAGATGATACGCTCTATCGTCGGAATCATACCTTTCAGAAGCAGCGGCATGAACGGGATGATTGGTGGTTCCAGCTTGGTAACAGTTAGTCTGTAAGATCGGTGGTTTCTTGATGGATCCTGATGTAAAACATGGAGGCGTTAATTATTCAAAACAGATTTAAATGTCAATTTTACAAATATCAGGAAAAACAAATGATCAGCGAACATTGGAGAGGAGTTTTTCAGGCATTCACAATGTGGTCCACATTCACTGGCATCCCTTGTAAAGATATATGACCTAAAATATTTATGTAAGAAATAATCAATTTTAAAAAGGACTTGTTTTGCATATGTACATGTTGTAATACCCTTCTTTAAAGAAGATATTATTTCTTACTTTGACTATACAGAAGAAGTCTTAAACATAAATACATTGATATCCTTCAGAATAGCTTAATAAAACACTAAAATTTACTTGGACTGATGCAGTAAAATGCTGTTCATAATGCCTTTTATTTGATTGTGCAGCAAAACTTACCATCATGCTCTCAAACTCGGCATAAAACTTCTTAAACTTGGTGGGGAGTTTCTGCCAATTAAAAAAACATTACAGGATCTAAGTGACATGAGATTTTCTGCAGGTCTTGTATAGATTAGGTTTACTGTAGATTAACTAATGGATTAGCTGGTTTTGCTAAAAGCTTTACCTCCCATGTCTGGCTCAGCCTGCTGACAGCAGGGTTGCTCATCCCCATAATGATGGCAAAGAACGAATTGAGGTTCTTAAACTCTCGACAGCTACAGACAAAAGAGGGGAATACATGTTACAAATCCAAATCTCGTCTTGGTGTCTGCAAAGTACTGTTAAATGTACTAATTTGACTAACTGGGCAGCTATCTTAATGAATTTCTTGAGAAGTTGGACCCTCTTGCTGAGCTGAGTGCAGAGGCATACTTCAGTGACCACCCACAGCTGCACCTGGTTGAATCTCCTCAGGAACAGGTCTAAATTAGCAGTGGTTCTTCTAAAACTATGGCGTCCAAACGTGTGGTAGAGCAGCTCATGCTGAAGGAAAACACAGAGGACACTCAGACGTACACAATAACAATAAAACCTGTTCTCTGTCTATTTTATTTCACAGAGAAAGAGGAGCTTTTCATCACACAGTACCTCATGCACACAGCTGAACAGCTCCCAGTCAAACATGGTCATTTGATAAGCCAAGTCCTTGGAGCTCATCAACTCAAAGGTCGACATGGAGCCAGCAGAGGGGCCTTCCTGGTCTGGGAGGGGAGCCTAAAACAAATAGGAGCGTACTTAAGTCTTTCTCGATAATGCTAAGAGACAAGATCAACATCCATATCGTTTACCTACCAGACTGTTGAGCTGTTCTCGAGGACATGCAAATAAACGACCATTTATGCTCAACGTAGAAAACACAGACACGTCGTTTGGCTTTAATATCTGCTTTTCTGTAACAGACAGGATAAAGTATCATCTTAAAACACTGTCTGTTTGAAAGCTTTCCATATTTAAACTATCAGCTTCTCTGTGTTTTGATTTCTTACCACCAGCAGAGCTAAGATGCACCAGCAGGAGCTCCTCAGTGGTGCCAAGCTTGTCTGACACAGCGCTGATCACCTCCCTCCCAGTGGCTACAACTGCGATCCTGATGGTAGTGTATGTGTGGTCACTGCAGTAGACCTTCAAGAGGACTGAACACAGGTAATAGAAATAGATAAAAACAGAAAATAGAAATAGGATATGATGCTTCAAAACTCTAAAGTCATATACTGTATGTTGCAACACTTCTTAAAAATAATCTCAAAGCAGATTCTGCTTTCAAATCTTGTAGAGATGAGTGTAAATCCTGTGAGAAGTTAATTCTGTTACAGTACTGACCCATATTTACAAGAACAACTGTTGAAAAGCCTTGAAATAAATCCAGACATTACTGACGAAACATAACCTGAAAAGAAACACTTGACTGCAATGAACATTTTGAAAATGTCATTTCCAAAAGGAGTTATCCTTTAGGAAATAACATTTAAAACAAAATCAGGGATGACATACAGAGCTTCTCTCATCCTATTATTACAGACACATTTTATGTGTTCAACTCGACAGAAATTTTCACTGATATTATTTGATTTAGTCAAATGTGACCTAGGTAAAGATTTATTTGGTATGAAACAAGGATGACAGTATGGAAAAACTCTTCATCCCATCCAATGAGCATGATGCTACAGGCTAATTTATCTTCAGCTGGAAAACTTGTTAGAGTGGGACCCAGAGATTTTAAGTAAATACGAATATTACTTGATCTTTCAATGACACTGGTCCAACACACATGACAGAAAAAAAATGTTTAGCAGACATAACTGTTGAAAAGAAAAAGACAAGACCATCAAAGAGGCAGGAGAACTATGGGTACTTTTCAAAGGTTGTGCAAAAAATAATGGTTTTTAATCTTAAACCGCGCGCTCCAACTTTGAAAGGTTTTGCAGACAAAATGTGGTCCCGTTTTTAAAGTGGACCTGTTCAAAGCTACCAAATCAATAACACTATCACACATTTTATTAAAAAACAAATCATTCTTCTCCGTTAAAATAAAAGTCAAAGTAGTGGTTAGTTTATAGCATTTTTAAGCATCATTTAAAAAAATAAATGTTGCCTGCATCTAAAAGATCAATTGCGGATCTGCCTAACTGTATGTCTTCAAATCATATACTGTCATATCCACCTCTGACTTCCTCAATCTCACATTTAAAAAACAGTTTTATCACAGAGGATTTATTGCATTTTACTATTCTGTCACAGCGATATATTTAACAGTTGTCAGCATTAACTGATCATATTCCTCAGTGAAACTTACTGTCATCTTGATTCCTGATGGGCTGTTTCTTCTGCAGCCTCTCTTCCCCATTGCTGAACTGTCGAATCAGGGTCTTCTGTTGTATTATAAGACAGTATCCAGATCACTGTGAGGCAGCTGACATAAGCGTAGCACAGACAGTGATTACTAATAGAAATTGCTGCTCTATACAAACCTTTTTTGTTGCTTTGGCCTCTTCTGAACTAAAAAGATAATTAATAAATATAACTTCAAGTTTGAACAAATCACACTTTAAGTTTTCAATAAATAAATCTGATACATACTGTAACTTCACCACTTTTTCAAGGTCAGGCACCAAGTCTTTGAGACCTCTCAGTGTCCGAGAATCATTGGACACACTTCCATAGAGCTCCTTGAGAGACACGCATTAAGAATATCTCAGAATATGTAAAACCATATGGAGAAACTGAGAAGAAAAAAAAAGCTTTATAAGAATAAGAATATCATGAAAATATTAACCTCCAGGAAAGAGATTGCAGCAGGCTCCTCCTGCAGAAGGTAGCTGTGTGTGTTTGCCCAGCGCAGGGTCAGAATGAGGGCCCTCCTTTTATTGTTGAGTGTGTACTCAAGCCTGTCCTGCTCAGAGCCCGGTGGAGAGGCCACATGGTAGGTGCACGAATGGTTAAAGTGAGCAACAAGTTAGCAGTTATACATGGCTGGTGCTGTTAAAAAAAAACCTAAAGAGATATTGGTCTCAGATCAAAATGTTATATTTGATGCTTTAAGGCTGAAATAAGTGAATAGGGTTTCGAATTTTTTAACAGTCCAGACGATGCGTTATATAGCTCAACTTTAGCATTTATAAATATCTTAAACGTTAATTAATGCATTGTCAAAAGCTGTTTTATTGGCATTTTATATAAAAAGATTTGGATTTTTGACTTGATTAGATTAAAATAAATGGATTTCTTCAAAATGTTACAACAGCACTAATAGAAACAGCACATAAAGATTAAAGTCACAGCCTGAGATAAGGACAAAGGCTAAAAGGATATTGTGCCATTAATAATGGGCATAGCTGGCTGTTTGGTATGAAGACGCAATGCATGAGAACAAAATCATCCACGGCTGGATCTATCAGAGAGAGAAACACAACATAGAACAGAGAATCAGTGAAAAGGAAAAAGTCCAAGCATAATAAATAAAGACTTTGAGAATGGTACAAACTGTTACAATCATTTCAGCTAAATACTTTCAATAAAAAGGGACAGCATCTTTTTAATCAATCCGGGTTCACACATGCTTCACAGTTAGAATTTATTTCTCAATAGTGACCTTGTTCGTTGTGATGAATGTCCAGCCTCATTGTCTCCAGGAAGTGTTCAAGAATCTTCTCTGGCGTCCCTGATATCACAGTGTATCTAAGAGAAATCAAATATAAAAAAATAAAAAAAGCTGAAATGAAATGTCATTTTCAAAGAAGGTTAGTTGACTGTTAGGGAAACATACACTAACTAATATCTGTTTTAATCTGTGATATGAGCCTGGAAGCTCTAGAACTTCAATACCCAGCATGCAAAGGGAGTTCTAAATGTAGGTCGGTACTGGAAAGGTTATGCTGGAGCTAAGAATTAAAGATACAGAAAATATTTAACATGCCTCATCTGTAGTATATAGAATCGTAGAACAACACAGAATCTATTCTTTAATTAATCAATTTTTTTAACAAAGAGATGGCTGTGATACTGAAGAATTTTATTGATTAAAGGAACTTAAGGAAAAATCCCTCAATGCGATCTAACAGTACAGTTAAAAAAGAAAACAAGATATTCAACAATTAAACACAAACAGAACCAATCCCAGAACACCAGTTTTTTAGATTAGTTTAGACAGATTTTGAAATTTGTTCTAACTCTGTCAGTCTTTATCTAGTTAAAAAAATGTGGCTCTAATTCTTATACTGCCACATGGGTCATACTGTGTGTTTATGGCTTGAACTTGACTCATCCAAGTTAACATTAGCTCTATGCTGAAAATCATTTTTAAACACCTAATGATCCTCTGGGAGGAAGCCAACGTTGTTGTAGTGTGATGTCATCCTCTGTAAACAAGACTGTCACCATAGTTATATTTGGATCTACAGAACCCAACATGTCTTACTTGATGCTTCCCAATGTGGATGCCCTGGGACTTTTCTCTAAAACCAGCACCGCTTGTTCATGCTCCTTCAAACGCACTGTGTTTGCTTCCACATCCTGAAAATACATACAGGACAACATCAAAGTAAATATTGTGCAAAATCTGCAATGTAGTACTACTAACCTGACACAAGAGGGCGACAACTTCAACGTATATATTTTAATAATGATAGATAAAAAAAAAAAAACTGGCACTTTTTTCAATAAAAGGCATTTTATACATTTTATTTTCCTATTTGGGGGATAAATCATAAAGTCCAACCCTGAGTATCCTGTTGAAGTCCTCCTTATCTACACGAAGGAAGTGGCAGTTGTCCTCCCTCAGAACGATGGAGGCAGCACGAGGTGAGTCTGTAACCAGAGCTAGCTTGCCAAAGTCATCCCCCTCATGGAGTGTACACACCACCCCCTACAAGAAACGTCAAAAGAACATGCAGAGAATCTCAGATACAAATTAGCTCTGACACTAAGACATCCTGAAAGTCATCCAAAGCCTAGAAGAAACACCAGACAGGAGCGCACACAGAGCAGGGATGAATCATCAGTGTGTTCATCTGCATGAAGCAAATTATGAATGCAAATGTAACATCACAACATGTGTGCAAACGATTTGTTTGCACACAAGTTGTGTGGTGGGATTGTTGTCAAAGCTTGCAATCCATGAAGCCAGTTAGTCATTGTGATGAGTCAGGTTGAGTGGTGGAGACTTTGCCATTGCTGGTGTTTCCCATCTCCACAGGCGACTAATGCGCACATGCTGAGATAAGACATAATACCTTCTACATTCTCATCCACTATATGCAAAACCATACAGAGGGTCAGATGTAAACACCAGACGCTGAAAAAAAGACACCTGATGTCCAGCTGGTGAATGATTGAATGTTTCCAGATACAGTTACGCACCTTGCCATAAATAACCACGTTTACAGAGCCCTTCTGGATAATGTACCAAGATGTTCCCTCTTCTCCTTGGTTGAACACTGGAAAATGAAGAAAAACACATACATCCACACATTATTTATTTAACTTAGTCATACAGTGCAATGCAAATTTACTCACACCATTAAATCTATATTTTCTTTTCAAAAATAACTCTTACAAGCCAACAATCGTCTACAACTTTTTTTTCCAAAACTGTTGTTCTGCTTATTTTCATAATGCTGATCTCTTCACTGGTATCAAACAAAACCTTAAGGTCTTTATTGAACAGCCACATTTATAATTAGATTAATTTTGATGAATTAATAATTCATTGTCTATACCCCCATACACGTGGCCTTATTAGGTGATTTTCATCCAAATTTTATTTTGTGGTTTCAGACTAAAATAGAGTTAAATTATGTATTATTTTACTCTGTAACTGTCTTTTGCATAAATGCATCAATCCCTTCATGGTCTATACCCCCATATCCTTGCAGGATTGAGCAGGACAGCCAATCACCAAGAGGTGGATACAACTGTTAAGGTGGAAACTGATGTAAAGAGAAGGAATGTGTGAATCCTTGCAGTGAGATAGTCGTGTTCAGAGTTAAAAGACAGCTTTGAGCCAAAGAAGCATGACATAATTTGACCTAAATTGGTACGTGCTTAATCTGACACAGGCTGGTGTAATAAAGTGAGGTATGGACTGAGCAGCTGGGATCGTGATCAGCACAGAGCAGCGAGTTTCACCTTTACAGTACATAGGTGGGAGTGGGGTGTTACTGATAGATTCCCTCTACCATCTCTCTCGTGACCAACCCCTAACCTTCATTTAATTTTCAACAGAAAAAGTCTCAGATCAACAAAGAAAAGGCTTTTTAAGCTCAAGACATCGCTCATAAATCTTTAATAAAATATATTAAATAAGCTATAAAGTTAGTGCCTGTGATGTGAATACTTTGGAATATAGATACAGTATTAATTAGAAGGTTAAGATCTTACGCCTAATGGAGCGGAAAATTCTAACAAAGAAATAACTAGCACTGTTCACTATTTTAAAATAGAATATGAAAACAAAAATACTATACAAAAACAAAACAAACAAGTTTGAGATTAGAATACAAAGAATATTTTTAACACATCAAGTAAGCTTAGAAACCTTGTTTTGAATTTTCTTTATAGTAACCAGACATATCTTATCTATGGCTTGAAATAGAATTTAAATGGCAACATGGCCCCTTAATTATTGCTAGATCTATCTGTAGTGAGTATTCACTAAACAACATAAAACTTACACACAGTTCCAGCTTTTGCATGGGATTCAAAAATCACAACGCTTGCCAGTTCCCTCTTCACCTGCAAATACAAATTATGCAAAAATAACAATCTTAGTTTATTACAACTCAGGTTGTCCATATTCTGTTCATATATGGGAGTTAAATGAATACTGTTGATGACTATGTTTCAACATAAGTTTCAGAAGATGAAGACTTTTAGACTAAATTCATCCACATTTTTAAATCCAGTGGAGACCAAATTAATTGAAGATATGTCAAACAGTTAAATAGTTAGCTATTTTGGATGGATAATGAGCAACTACCTTTGATTTCATGTTTTGGTCCATTCAGAAGAAAAAACTAAATGTGAAGCAGGGGACTTACAGTGTTGGAGAGGTGAGATAAGGCCTTGATGTGAAGCAGCTCATCGTAGATGATCTCTAGGTCATCTGCTGTCCTCTGCCCTGGCCTACACACACATACAGGTTAATCAGAATAGACTCACCAGTCATTTTTTTTATTCCCTACTCTTACTATCTGCAAATGAAATGCCAAACATAAGCTTCACTTAATGTTTTGCAAAATTAAGCGCATGCAACCAATGCAAGTTTAAAGATGATCTTGAATCGACTACAGCCGCACTGCAGTCCATAAGATAAAAGCATCCTTACGGTTTCCTTAGGATCATGCGCAGCAGTGCATCTGGGCCGATCTGAGCCAGAAACAGGATGGTCTCTGGCAGTTCTTCCTCGCTCTCTCTCTTCTCTTCCTCACTAGGTAATGGTGTGTCCTGCTCCTCATCATCAAGAAACCGATAAAAAAGGTACTTGTCGTGGAAGCCCAGCTCCTGGTCCACTGAGGAGTACAGTTTGGCGCATGAGGCATTACGGTGTAATTTCTAAGAATCAGAATATTATTATTATTTTTTTTTAGATATGCTGCAACCTTTCAACTTTAAAAGTTAAAACCAGATTCTGTATCAGTTACTGTAATATATTCTGTGGCATATTTCTGAGGCAAACTTAACAGGTTTTAGACTGTCAAATACTGTATGCATCATTTGTGCTAATCAATTTAGAGACAGAAGATAAAAGATTCGGATGAAATGATTTGAGCTACAAGTTGATCCCAAAGCAGCAGCAAGTACCCGATACAGCTGCTCTTCTGACTAAGCCAGAAATTCCCAAACTTTTCAGCCTGCGACCTTAAAAATAACAGTGCACCAGTCTGGTTACAGCCTAAGTACATTTCACTCTATATCTATGTATAAATATGCTGCGAAGTAATTATATGCATTTTAAATACATATATTGTGTGTTTTTAATGTGTTTTTAACTCTTTAGCAGTACATTTAATTATTTAATTGTGTGCTGTGTAATTTAAAATTTATTGTAATATTTTAATTAATATAAATAAAATGTGCCATGTACATAATTCACAGTAAATTATTTTATTTAATAGTAAATTCACATCTATGTATTTCATGATACATTTTTGCCCGCATACATCACAGCGATTACATCACAATAATTGTGAAAATTATCTGTTAACACCCCATTTAGTTTTTCTCTTCCTCCCTGGAGGTCCCCACCACTTAGGGAACCCCTGGTCCAAGCAATGCCCCCCCAGAAACAATCTGATTTCATAGTTTAGAACACCAAGTTTTAATAATATCTTATACCAGATAATGACTAAATATTTAAAATAAAACTGTATCAGAGGTTGTGAAGGTCTTAAAATATATGAAGCAAAATCTCACTTTCAGTTTATCTGAAACAAGAAGAAGTGTGCTTGATTTACCATGGTTAAGCCCTCCCTCTTCCAGCAGTGCCTGCCACATCCCTACAGCATGGGAGCGTGTGAGAACACAGGCACTCTGCATCACCAACCAGTCCACCAGTTCTGTTCCTACGCAGCATTGTCTGCAACACACATGTGAACACGTGATCTAAACATTGAATATACACAATCAAAATGAAAGCATTCATAATCAAACAGGTTGAACTCAACCCAGATGCACATACACACCTGTATGTTTTCAGGTGATATTTTCTGTCACGTATCATGTGTGGTGCTCTGGACAGAATAGCATTACGGAGAACCTTTCCTGCTCTCTGCAGCTTCTCCGAGGGAACCTGCAGAAGCCACAAAAGAACTCTGGTGAAGTTATTGTGATAATCAGAGCACCACAGATCACTTTTTTAATCATATTTTGATGATATTGCAATGTAACTGATTGTTTTAAATGACGTTGCTGAGTTTGAGGCTTTGCATGTAAATATTTGCCAAGTAGATCATTGAAATCATAGATCAAGAAACATCTTTGATAGACTAAAAGAGAGAGAAATATACGAGAGCTGGAAACCCCCAACACACACACACACACACACAGAGTTTCTGCTGAAAACAACAAAGGAAGGCATGTTAATTGGGCTCTTTCTTCGATGTGCATGCATTAACTAGCATTAGCATATCTACAAAACATCAAAACTATGATTCATCAGTGGGGGGGAATCTATTTTAGTATTCTGGTTCTTTTAAAAATTGTGTTAAAGTTAGACTTGTAAAAAAAAATGTAAAACACTGTCAGAGTGTAGAATAGTAGTGGGGTAGGAGTACTTAGATTTATGAATAATCCTTTAAACATAATATAAATGTGAGCATTGATAAAATCGTCCACATTAGTGATTACATTAACATGTAAAAAAAAACTAGGCAAATATCTTTAGTGTTCTGTCCACTGAAGCAATTAAGAATTCAATATAAAAAGGTAAAACATTAAAGCAGTTTACTTTGCTTTTCTGTTTTTAAATAAATCCAACACAAAGCTTTAGGTCCAAAATTGGATCTGCTTGATTAGTTTACCTTGTTGTGAGTCTTGTTTCCAGAGTCTGAGGTCATGTTGTCTTTGTCTGTCAGTCCTGAGGAGAAAATAAAAAATAAATACCTTCCTATGTAGTTTCTGCTTCATTCTGTCAAATATAACATTTAACTCAGGTATCACTGTTCTGGGATACATGAAGGAAAGCTCTCTGGCTTCACATACATGGTTTGTTTCATTTCTATGGATTTTGTATCTACTTACTGTCATTGTTTGAGCCACTCTCCATGGCTCCATAAGGCGGGGCCAACAATCCAGCAAGGCTCTGACGGTACTTCTACAGGAGAACACAGAGCACACCAACATGCCCTTTAAAAAGCCTTTCAGAGATTTACATGAGCTCATCAGCGTTAGTGTACTACCACTTCATAACTTCAAAAAAGGCATTTTAACTGATATTTATTTCAAATTGAATAAAAGGAACATATTAGAATAATACAAAAAAAGAATCTTGTGTAAAAACTTGTTTTGATCAATGTAGGCTCCAAATGACGCTTAACAACATGCTGTTTGTCGCTATCAACAAAGTTATGGTATAACTTCCAGAAGGAATGGGAGAGCATATTTTAGCTTTTAAGCATAGGTGACAAATTTTCAAAAAGTTTCAGGTCTGTTCATTTCTTTACTGGTTTTAACACATTTTTTAGGATAATTGTACTGTTTCAATACCTAATTCATCACAAACTCAGCATGATGCTCCCACTACCATGCTTGAAAGTTGGTACTACAGTATGTTCTTAGAACTGAAAGCCTCACTTTGATTTATCTAAACATATTTCTTGCCATTGTGGCCAAGCAGTGGTTGTTTCTGTGTTTTTTTTGTTTTGTTTTTCTACATCCAGACTAATTTCCCTTCATCACAGATAACAGTACAGGGCAGAAAAGTAGGAATCAAACACAATAAGGCTTCTAAACTGTACAACAATCACAAATCTAAATCAATACTGACTTTAAAATGGACATAACCAGTAAAATATTAAGCTTCTGGAATGATCCTGACCACAATCCTATCAAAATTGTTCAAAAGCTATGCTTTAAAGCGGTATCTGTGCAAGCAAACAAACCAAGTTACAAAACATCTAATATCAAGAGCAAGTGGTTAAATATATACTGAATATTAAATATTCAATATATTTATATATTTATATATAATATATATATATTATATATAATATATAAGTGTTATTACTAACCCTTGAAATTGTATGCTTTATAATCATGCTACACTAAAGTCACACTAAGTTTAGATTTAATATCATATTGCCACCAGAATGGGTTTACAAACAGGACACATTATCAAGCACAGTTTATCTAATGTATACATAAAGAAATTTTCTGATGCCTCAGCAAATAAAGGAATAACAATATTAACCTCATTCATGCACCAAAGTCGTTAACATTTTTCATAATTGTATTATAATACTAAAACATTTCTCTCTTTATCAATAGATTTATAAATATAACACTATATTTGTCTGAAGGATAAACATTTTAGAACAAAGTTCATGAATGAGTTTCCTGGCCAACTGATCGCCGCATCTCCAGAGATAAGCCAGGTAAAAATGAAAAAGGATGCAGGAAATGATGTGCCTGTTTTGTTGATGTTGTTAGGGTTTTTTTTTGTTTTTTTTGTTTTTCTTTAAGGCATATACACCTGTTTTAGTAGACTACTACAGCAGGATTAGGACTTGTGATCCATGAAACCCTTTTAATGCCCTGTCTCACCAAAGACCTGCAATGTTACTTAATGTAACACTGAACCTTAATAGCCTTTCAAAAACAAAGCCTTTTGTACAACCAAGATCATTTATATGCAGAACATCAAACATTATATAATACACACACAGAGACACACACAAAGCAGCTGCACCTAAAGCATGGTTAAGCCATCCAGCGTGCACAGATGCTATTTTTACAACTCATAACATTAAATTAGGTTTTATTTTTATTAATATGTTTGTAGCAGAGATTTAAATAAACAAGTGCCAAACTGGGAGGGCATTATATGGCGACCCAAGCTCTGTGAGAATGGTCAAAAACACAAGCTGAGAGAGAGAAACAGAGAGCATCTGTTTGACCTCAGGACACAAACCTTCCCCTGTCCACACAGTTTGTTTTTAAAATACACTCAGATACATCAGAGAAGACGACAAAGCAATACAGTGCATCTCGATGACGAACATGAAAAGTGTAAAACCAGAGATCGTATTGGTTTTCGTTCATAGAATTTCAATATAAAAGACTAGTAAAAATGTTTGGCTTGTCCAGAACCGTTACAATAAAATATTCAGACTCACCTGAGGTAACACTCAGCAGACTAAAGCTGAAGGGGCTGAAGGGACTGAAACCCCAGCAAGCTGCCCTCTGCTCCTTTACAATTCACACACACTCACACCACCGGATAGCATCCTGCCTAAAACAAGCTGCTCTCCTCCTTTCTTTCAGATTCCCTCTTCCTCTCTTCCCCTCACACACAGTTGCCCTAGTGTCTGTCTCTGTCTCTCACTCGCCCTCCCTCGCTGCAATCAAGCCAAGAGCCAGAGCACTTTCTCTTGCAGGTTACCAGGGTGATCTGAGTCTCTGTATTACAGAGCTACTCCAGTGGAAGAGTAGGTGGTGAGAAAGCAGCTGAGCAGAGAAAAGAGTAGTAAAGGGTGAGGCTGGAGCAGAAGGGCAGGAGGTCTAGAACAAGGCTTGGAAAATAGCTGAATGGAGGAAAAAGGGAGGTGGGCATAAAGGAGAAAAAAAAGAGACATATGCAAATTGAAAAGCAGGGGGAAGTAATACGCAAAAAAAAAAAAAAAAATACAAGATGTATCTTGATTTCCATAGGTCCAAATAAGGAAGCTGTATATCCCTTGCCGCTATAATTATGAAGCATTGCTTCATTATCTTTCATCCTTCCATCAAACACAGGGCGGCATTTATCTCGTAGCTTTCTAGTCCTGAAGACGCACGTGCATGTGTGCATAAATAAGCCCACAAACACACAGACACAAGAATGAGACTCAAAGCACCTCTCACAGTGGGCTGGATAAGACAAAAAAAAAGCAACCTCAGGCTGTGTGATCTGTTTTGTGTCCACTGTCCTATTATAGAACGCTGATAGGAAGCCAGAGTGCACTTAGTGGACAAGAAAACACACAACCATCCCAATAAGATGGCACATGCTGAAAAATGACTAATTATTGTCTTTTATATTGCTCTATCATGTCCCTGCAGCATTAAATGGAGATGGCACGTTACAGTCAGTCTCATTATTATTCATATAGTCAAACAACTGGGGTGATATTTTTAGTGATACAGATGAGTATGTTTTCAGTGGCAAGTGAAAGCAGCAATTTCTGATACAAAAAACAAAAATCTCTATGGCGGGAAATCCGTAGCATCATAAACAATTAGATGTTTCAGATGCATTATTGAAATTGCAAAAAATATAATTTCGACATGGAAACTATGCTTAATTTATTCAAGCAACCCTGTAGACCAAGCAAATACAAAACACAGGGAAAGGGAAAGTTACCCAAACTCCTGTGATATTTTGTGACATAACTAAAGGCTGCAGATGCTAGTCTGCATTGTTATCTGTCTTACCTCTTTTTGTTGTAGTTTTTTTTTTAAATAGGCACATGCACACATTTACCTGCTGCTGTTATCCTGTTTTTTATTTGTCCTTTATATCCTTTTTTAGCTTTCTTTTTATTGTTGTTTTTGCACGCTTATTTTGACGTGGAAAACGGAAAACCAAAGTCAAATTCCTTCTTTGTGCAAGCAAGCCTGACTCCTGAAGTTGGTTACATTTTTGAATTATTATATATTTTGTTTTTAATGGGATTTCATATATTAGACAAAAAAATTAGAAAGTGGGAGCAAGTTTTGATCTAAACCATTACACTGTATTTAACATAATGCTTGAGGTTATAGTCATGATGGACGGTATATACATAATATACATTCTCTCTGCACATTACCTAGACCATTCTTAAACACAAATTATCTCCAGTTATGATGGGTCTCTTTCTTCTCTGATTAAAACTCCTTCCCCAACCAGTGAAAAGAAATGCACAGCCATGTCTCTGGAGATTTTCATACTTACTCTGGTTTCATCAATGCATTGACACTCAGAGATATTTAAAGCTTTGAATATTATTTTTAAAACCTAAAACTGCTTTAAACATCCCCAGAACTTTCTCCCTGATTCTGATTTTTGTTTCATGTTCTTTACAGTGCAGTTTGTTTAGCAAATCTCTCCAAGAAACCTCAAAGGCCTTTATATGAGAGTTGGATTTATCCTGAAAATAAATGTCAAACAGGATTTTTTGAGTTTGAAGCTATCTATATTTACTTTAATTTTATTAAGGAGTACAATAGTAAGTGTGTTTGTTTGATAGATTCTTTATTTTAGGAATATTTAAAACCATGTATCTATTTCTGTTTGTTGTTGAAGCTTTAAAAAATGTGGAAACATTAGGTGGGCATAATTCAATTTGCAAAGCACTACAGTTTCTGTAGCACAAAAATCTTATCTTTAAGAACAAGTCCAAGTTTGACTCCTAATACCCAATGAGCCACTGCAGAAGATGTTCATCCAGGAACCACACCACAGTCTTTCATATGACTCAATAGATCAGAGTCTTTGGAAAGAGTGAGAAAAATGAGAGCTTTGGTTGTAGATAAGTTTTTAATTGTGACGTTCTTCATTTTTACCTCAGATGTTCAAGTTTTAAAGCGAAATCTATTTACCCAGTCAAGCATTGCATGTACTACAAAGAAATGTCCATGTAAAAAAGTTAAATAAAAGTAGAAAAGGAAAAATTAATTGAATTGATTATCGTGTGCCTTGAAATGAGTACTTCTGTCTCAACGCTTTTTAAATAAACTGAATTGAATTTAGAAAAATCAAGGAATATAAAAGAGAGAAAAAAAACGTATGCATGACAGAAAACCTAAAAAGAAGACTAATATAAACTATTTGCAGAAATCCATGAAGCTGGGGCTTGTTCAGATATAACAAGGAGTTCCTTTCCCTGTATAGGGTTCTAACTGTTGACACCATAAAAGGTGAAGGGATAGGAGCTAGGAACAGCAGGTAGGAGCTACAATTTGAGGTAAATCTAACTTTAGGCTTCAGTGCAGCTGTTAACTTACCATTTGCATAAATCTGATAGTAACTTTGTGCTTTAATGACTGATTTCAACTGATATGAAACCAGAGCTCTACTGAACATTGCAATATATAAAACTTAAAACTATAGCGTAGTCTAATGTTGCTAAATAAGGCAGATTGGTAAACCAATTATGCTCAAATTGTAACCATGTAGCTGACAGTTTGGATTAAAGTTGAAGATCTCAGAGGGAGTCCCGATCTTTATCATTAGACCAGCTTTATGCAAAGCACCTTTACCTCTATACCCCCCACATAATGCTACCACCACTACTTCACAAGGCTTAAAACTTGGGTCTGAAAGCCTCACTTTGACTCCTTCAAACACAATTTTTGCCAAAAGCACTTCAAGTTTGTTATAGGCTTGTGTCTTGGTGCTCCTAACTTATCCTTTGAGCTCAGTGTTTGTGTCAAATGGTTAAAAGGTAACCAATATTGAATGCTCTCACAGGATAATCATCCGTAAAAAAAATGATACTGTAGATTAATATTAATATTTGCACAAAACAGTTTCCTTGATATTCAATCCACTGTACAGGTATAAAATACTGATAATAAACTTTAGATCTGCTCATAAGAACCACATAATTTGAGATATATCTACTTTTAAATGTCTTCAAAACACAAAGATCTAAAGATGATTTTCAGTCTATTTTTTTTTATCTTTCTAAAGAAGCAAACCTTTCTCTCTCTGGTCTGTTGTGATGTCTGGTGTTCATTTCTAAGGTGAAACAGATGCCTTAATGGTGGACAGCCCCCTTGTGGTCAAGAGGACAACAGCAAACCAAGACTTGTATAGAATCTATAACATTATATCTTATTTTATTTATTTACATTTTAATTTATAGATTTGATGTTTGTATTTTAATATCTGTTAACCGTTTCATCTCACCTCCCAGAGGGTTTTGAATTCCCTCTGTTCAATTCGAAGAAGCTCACTGGTCTCTCTGCTGACAATGGTAGCGTGGCGAGGCGTGTTGTCCAGGATGGACTCCCCGAAGGCCGTCCCAATCCCCAGGGTGCAGATTGTGACTGCATCCTGTGCACAGACTGGTGTGGTTAATTTGTGATTCACAACACGCAACAAGAAATGTGAGTTAGGTTTGTATGTTGATTTATTAACTTAATCAGAAAAACACAGCGATCAATGCAAAAGAAAACTGACATGCATTTCCTCTTATCACAACCAAAAAAAATTGATGTATTTTATTGGGATTTAATATCACATCAACACAAAGAAGCAGATTCAAATCTATATATGGTATTACAAAATATGCATAAGGCAGTTATTAGTTATTAGTTGGTAATACTACAAATTTGGGCAAAGACGTCTTGCAAGTTAATACCTACTACTTAGGGGCTACTGTAGATTTTATTTTTATATTTTAGGTTTTATAAAAAAATAAAACTTTATGTGACAGAAAACTGTGACTGCACATCACGCTAAATGCACAATCATAAAGGTGTAGCGCTCCAACATAGAGCTGCAGGGATGCTTTTCCTTAACAGGGACAAGGAAGCAGGTCAAAGTTAATGGAAAGATAGAAGAAATTAAACACAGGGATTTAATAGAACAGCACCTGATGAAGGCTAAAAAAACACTTAAGGCCAAGAAGTTCCACTTTTTAGAAGCACACAGGTCTGATCATGAAGATTAAAACATTATGCTGTTTAGAGACAATTTCCATTAAATCTGACTGTGCTCTTGCTAAAGGAAGTTGCACTATTACTACTTTACCATTTTCTGGATTGTATTAATCTTTTAATATTACAATAATATGACAACAAATACATGTTATGAGTTTTTCAAGAGATGCTTTTTGCAGCACACTGCAGTGAAAGTCTCCTATAAACAAAGCATCTTTGTGAGTCTATTACAGCAAACAGTCCGGCTGCAGAATACAAACACACACCTCCTTTCCTATTATTGTTTCTATTGATTTAGAAAACATCTACACTGAGCTAAATAAATCTTTTCAGTTGTCCAAATGACATTTCAAATATAGCTACAGAAACTAGGCCACCAAAGACCATTTAGGGCTCTGAGCATGAAAGGGACGATTCACAGCACAGGAGCTTTCTATCGCTGTATTTCTCTTGGAACAAATCCTTTCTCCCTCTCCTCCCACACATCATTATTACCCGCTGTATGTACATATTAACCCTTTTTCCACATTCCTTATGCTAAAACTATCTACAGTCCACCAGAAAGCACGATACAATGTGTTTGTGAGGGGGGAGGGAGATGGGGTGGGGGGGTTTTGAGAGCACTGTACTAGAACAATGTCATCACTGAGGAGAGTCATATAAGACAGCCTCTCCAACACTGGGGACACTTTTACAGCTGAATGGATACTGAGAGCACCAACGATGAAACAACCCCGGGAGAGGAAAGAGGATAACACAACATTTTGGTTTTAATGATGGACAGACAACACTATAACTGATTCAGTGATTTAAATTGGATAGGATTGAGCTTACCTGATGATTAGCTGTTTCTGACACTTTGACATCCAGGGAGCCAGACAGGACAGCATACCAACTAGTGCCTATGTCACCCTGTCGAAACACTGCAGAAAGAAATATGGATTAAGCAGTCATTTTAAAAAATGTCAAAAATCACAAGTTTATTTACTACATTCAAACATTTAGTCCTTCTTAACTAACTGCTGCAGTTTACAATAAATACTCTTCAACAGAACAGAACAATAAGAACGGTTTATTTTCATCTCAATGTTTTGGGTAATGTATTATTTTATAAACAGAACTAAAATGTGGATTACAATCAAGCAAAAAAATGTCCTTATTTATTTAGTGAGAACTGAAATGTTATGATTTTGTCATGGTTATTCAGCGATGAGTACACGTTTCTTTCCAATAAAACCTTACACAGGACGATAAAAGGACTAGAAAATTTAATTGTTCTTATATTTGCTTATAGCTGAAACTTAATCACAGATTGGCTTGATTCAGGCAGAAGCAGAGAAAAAAGATCTATTCATGCAAACGAATGTCACTCTTTCCACAACTGTCCATCTGCAGCAGTGGTATTACACGGCAGAGACAATTGCCAATTGCCTGCAGCCAGGTCAGCCACATATGACTACTGCTCATCACCATCAACAAAACTGTCCACCAGCATCAGAAAGCATCTCAAAGCAGATTCTAACTGTGATGGCATGAAAAGTCTAAACTTGGCGGCATATACCGTATTTTCGCGACTATAAGGCGCATATAAACGTCTTTTTTTCCCTCAAAATGTGCACCGCGCCCTATAGTGCAG